CAAGAATGATTACGAGCTGTCTAAGACAAAGTCCCTGAGAAAGGGCGTGTTCTCCGGAAAGCTTGGGAAAATTACTGTTTCAGCCGATCAAACTGGAGCAATTGTTCTTCCATCTCCTAAAAGCTCCTCGGAGGCTACATCAATGGCAACTGTCAAGCTGCAATTTGAACCACACGATTTTAACTCACAGCCACCTCGTCTTGGTAGTCTAGCCACTAAAATCAAAGCGATAAGTTTTTATGCTAGCAAGCCAGCAAAGTTTCTCTCTTCCAAATCGAGTATGGTCAAAACCTTTGACCCTGCCCGACAATTTTATCAAACTTCCGTTCCTCTCTCGTCAAGATGTGTTGAGCAGGTTGCATGGGTGAAGCACTTACCACAACCAGATTTATCCCGACGAGCTTCTACCATATCGTCTAGTTCGTCTGAATACTCAGATAATTCACAAACGTCGCTAGAGGCACAGGACAGGATCTACTATACAGCAGAAATCTTGGTCCCAATTTCATTGCCTTCGTCAAAGACTTGGGTCCCCTCATTCCATTCATGTATCGTCTCTCGAACTTACTCATTGGATCTTGCCTTGTCCATTCATACTCCAGGAGCAGGAATTCCAGCTTCTACGGTCAAACTTTGTCTCCCAATACAGATTGCAGCTCAAGGCAACCGAACTGCGCCACTCGCTCTCACCGCAGAAGAAGCTGCTGCTGAGCTAGCAGATGTGAATGAGTATCTCAGACCACGAGTTATTGAGATGCCAAGAGAGGACTTGGTTGAGAATAGTATTTTGCGTTCGAGCTCTACTGTTCCACGTCCAGAATTGCCTCCAAGCTATGAGCACACTGAGGTATCAAGGAGACCAGTTGATCCATCAAGGTGCTGATTTGAAATGGATTTGGGGGGGTTTTTTTTTGCGTTGGTTTTCTGCTTTTTGGGTAAAATGGTTGGGGAAAGCAAACACTTGATTTTTAAGTACAGAGTACACGATTTCTGATGGGAGTTTGGGGATACCAATATGTATTTTTCGTTTGGGGCTTTGGGGATTTGGGAATTTGCTGGATGGCACACTTACGAGTACAAGATACCCTTTTACTTACCTAGTATTTACTCTGTCGGTACCTCGTACACATTAGGAGGTACTTCTAGACAATTAATAATAATCTACTATTCTCCAATATCTTCTCCCATTCATTGATTCATTGTGAGGACCCACTGGACGTCCAGATCTCACCAAACGATTCTTCTAAATGTTCTATGTCGTAGAATCCAATCTTAATGTTCTAAAACGCCTTCCATATGATTCAAAGACCCACCGGTCTTCTGACGCCGTGTATAGCCCCGCGCAACCCCACTAACCATCATCATTTCCAGGGATATTGAATACTACGCGTCTAAATTTGACAGGCTCATAGGCTTTGAAGCTCAATACAAGGCTGCTGTCAGTGGGCTTTTCCACGGATACTCTGTATATCACACTTGTGTTATGCCTGCCAGATGGATACTAGCTGACCAGCCATCTGCAATATACTTCGTAGATGGATCATCATACAAACCAACAAAAACCATAATCGAGTAATTCATCCAAAGTATATTAATCCTCAAGATCGAGATCAAGTTGAAAGAAGGCCTTTCCTCTCGTCGTCACTTTCTGAATCAAGATCAACGAATATCATACCTCTTCAATTGACCCTTGTACTGTCTACCTAGGTACCCCAGAATCACAAGCATCCCACCGCTTGTCTCATCCACACTCGTCCCATATCACGGCAAAATCAGCCTACGAGACCGATACCTGATGATTTGCCAGCTCATGCCCAATCATTAGGATTATGACTGGTGATGAAATTTTGCCCAGCATCATTCATTTCATGATTAAAAAAAGATCTTCTTCTCTCGTTGTACAAACCATTTAATTACCTGATTCACGAATAAAATCCTCCCGTACCTTTATTCGTATCCACGCACATATATTCTTGCTACCCGCTCTATCGATGCGGACACAACAGCCAGAGGAAACGAATGCGATGCCAAAATATAATATCCAACAACAACAACAACAACAACAACAACAACCATATCGAGATCTTATTGATTGATCATTTTCCGCAAATTGAGGGACTGAGATATCGAAATCATATTTTGTGAATATGGCGCAGACCCAACCGCAACCACAGGAGACTCCCGACGTGGATCCCAAAGAATTCTATGGATATTTGTTTGATGAGAATAAGAGTCCGACGCCAGTACTAAATGCGCTATTGAGAGGTGTCGCGAATCATATTGTAAGGAGTGTTCAAACTTCCGCGATTTACGCTTTGAGTTTTATGCTTATCATTGTGGCAGATAGAGAATGTGGGAAGTCAAGAAGATAAGTTCCTAACGCCAGAGAAGTTGGCACTTTTCTATAAAGCTGTTGGTGGAAATTATGATTGTAAGTCTTCTTTTTTGGGAGGGGAGGGGTATCTAGTTTCGGGTTCCCGTCGTCTTCCTTGTCTATCCGCGATTTTAGAAGCGTGCTTGCTAATAGCTTCCGTTGCCTTACATAGCTCTTTTTGTGGAGACGACACATCCATCCATCTCTTGGATTTATGCCTCGATAGGCTGTCAACATACTTTAAACCCGACGAAAGATGATTTTGCCCCTCCTTCGATACCGTGTCTCACTGTGCGAGGATTCGTGCGATGGCAATCGATAGAAATACTTTTAGGGCCCGAGGAACATGTGCCATTCCTCCAAACCGCCGTCCGAGATTTCGAAATCAAAAATCCAGATACGGGAGAGAGATTCCCAATTGATTTGCCAAAGGAAGCGTTCCCATTGGTACCGGATGCGGGAATAGAGGAATGGCATCGGACGTGTGCAGAGAAATTACGCAAGCGAGCAACGCCGGATGATGAAGAGGATGCTCCCATACCGGACCTCCCGCCGAGACCCAAAGTACAAGCAACATACGTTCATGTTCGGCCCTCGCCCAGGGTCCCAGAGCCAACACCAACAAATGCTGCGCATCCCCGCAGCGGCTATTTCGAACCGTCTACTCGTGAGTCTACCCGTGAGTCGACTCGCGAGCCGCCCCGGGAATCTACTAGGGAATCTACTAGGGAATCTGCTCGTGAATCCACCCGGGAATCTACTCGCGAGCCTCCTCGCGAATCGGCGACCCGTGAATCCACTACCCGTCGACCTAGTCGACCTATACCTTATACCCACGTCTCAGCATCTCGACCCCAACGACCCCCTCTCAACCGATCACCCACTCATCGAGTCCGTCAATTTCTCGCTCCAGAAGAACCATATGCACCCCGCATACCCCGCGGTCGTCATCGCAGTTTTCCCAATCTGAGTTCACCTGTCTCAGAAGACGCTCCTACCTTTCACGCGCACCCCGCTCCTCCTGTCGATCCCCACCATCCCCATCACCATGTCCCGGTTCCGGATCCTCCGCACCCCGCTCACCCGCGAAGACATAGTCACCCGCGACAATCCCGCCATGCACCCATTGTTTCCGACTCCTCCGATTCGTCCAGCGATACCAGCGTGACTTCGGATTCGGAAGATGATCCTTCCCCGAAAACTCGCACGGTTCCAATCAAAACACCGACGGGTGGACGGTCCATACCAAGACATCCGCAAACTGCTTATATGTCGCGAAGTGCTGGAGCGGATAGTCCTCGGGTATTTGCATTTCCATCTACGGCGCCGGGTAGTACGATGCCGTCTCCGGTTTCGGATGTGAGGGAAAGAGAGAGGGAGAGGGAGAGGCAGAGAGATATTGAGGAGAAAGTGAGACGGGGTCAGTATCCGACTAATATTGATTTGAATGGGAAATTGAGCGCGCCGTTTTTGGCGGGGAGGAGGAAGAGAGAGGCGGGGAGAGGATCGGTTGATATTGATAGGGAGCGGGAGCGGGAGAGGGATAGGGAGAGAGAAAAGGGGAGAAGCGATAGTAGGGGTGTGAAGTGGAGGGATCTGGGGGATATTGCTGAGATGTGGAGGAATGGGGGGATGAGAGGGGAGGGTGTTAGTAGTCATTCTCATCATGTGAGTGGAGGGAGTGGTGGAGAAAGTGGAAAGAGAAAGTGGAGAAGGGAGGGGGAGTAGGAGGCACAGTAGTCGAGAAGATAGGAGCGATAGAGATAGAGATCGAGATCGCGAAAGGGAGAGGGAGAGGGAGAGGGAAAGGGATCGAGATAGAGATAGAGATAGAGAGAGGGATAGGGATAGAGATCGAGACCGAGATGAACGGGATAGGGGAGATAGGGAAAGAGATTACAGAGAAGGGAACGCCCTAGGTTACAAACGAGACATAGTAGTCATGAAGAAATTCCCGCAAGAAGAATCAGAACGGAAAGAGCGGATCGAGAGAGAGATGATGAATACGAAGGGAGGAGTTTTAGGGAGCGAGATCGAGAGAGAAGAGAAAGGGTTGTGAGTCCCGTGAGGGGTGTAGATGGGAGGAAATATCCGGATTGGAGATGATGATGATGATGACGATGATGATTTATGAAGATGGGAAAGGATGAATATGTGTTTGCGATGGAGTTTCGGATGGAGCTTGAATGCATGCATGGATGCATTGAGGAGGCATGGATAAACACATTAAGCGAGCGAGCGAAATGCAAATGAGCAATGAGTAAGTATCCATGGATATGTATGATGGTTGGATGGAAGATTAGTTTATACATTGTGTTCTTTACGTTCTGTTTGTGTCATGTTAGCAAATACGAGATACCAGGATGCCAATGATGGATAGATAGATGGATGGATGAATGACGAAATAAATGGATATTTCGCATCTCCTTGTGCGTAGAGAGAATTTGGGACGGGCTTGAATTCACTTTATATTCCCATAGATACCTACCTACTATGAGGTGTAAAATCTTACCTTGTCTTGGCTGCAGACAGTAAACGTCTACCTACCTACCTACCTACGTTAATCTCGCTCTCGCTTTCGCTAGAACACACAGTATACCTAACAACGGTACTTATTACTTTTCAAAGCTCGCACGCTTCTGTATTGGAACTTAAAATCCTCTCTCCTTGTTTATCTCTAGATAGATAGATAGATATGCATGATCAAGTCTAGATGTTGCTCTTGCAGCATTTACATTTCCGTTACCACTTCGTAAGCGATCGAGCACCTCAATGTCCTGCATTTTTTGGCTTCTTAATCTGTCTCGCCACGAAGACAGCATGAATTAAATAGAAAATGAACATGTTTCTATAGTATCGATTTAATTGATGTGACTACCGAAAGCTCTGTGTGTATCACATGCTAGACATCCATCGATCTTCATTTACTCAAATGCGATATGTGAAATTTCATCGAACATAACTTAGCCGCAATCTAGGGAGACCTGCGGGAGGTATTTCGAGTAAACTCCATGCTTGAAAACCACCCTGAAAACAAAAATTTCACCTATGCACTCCTTTGCCCCTAAACCATCCATAATAAAACCGAACTGAGAAGAGAAATTTTCGCCGAAGATTAATTGTTCAAGAGAACTAGAGTGTGGTTAGAAAAGATAATCAGATTGTAAGCCCAAGTTGAGATGATACATACCTTCCAGCGATGACCGCAAACTTGACATTCGCAGAAAGTCGTCATAGGTTCATCAGCACTGCGAGTCTGTGCTTGTGAATAGCTAACTTTCTTCTGACCACATTTTCCGCACGTCAAAGCATCACTAATACTCTTCTCCGCCATTGGCACCTGAGCCTTCTTCATGTTCTCCAACTCTAACGCGTCGTCCTTCTTCTTCATCTCCTCTGATTTCAATTCCTCATGCGTCATGACAACAAAACGAGCTGGATCAATATCGCCCGACATGACTCTCTTGCGCAACTGCGTATTGGATACTTGTTTGAGATTTTGAAAGAGGGAACGAAGCTTCTCTTTATATTCCTTCGTCTCACCACCAAAATGATCAAACGCAGCTTGTTCAACAGCCATAGCCTTGATAATGACATGAGTAGGAGGCTCTTCGCATTTGAAAGCAAGACCATTATACATTAATCCAATACAAGCATCGCGTGTTGGAAGACCCGTACGCTTAGTATCGACTTTATCAGTTTCCCATCTTCGCTTTGAGGAATCGCCTTTAAAGGCTTTCGTGACTGGGGCGCTAGGCGCGGGCGCAGGAGAGGAAGTACTGTTACTGCGAACTGCAGGAGAAGATCCGGATGCCATTTGCTTTGCTTTGCGCTTTTCTTTTTCGGCTTCGACTGTTTTTTTCCACTTGGTGACGATTTCAGTGGCAAGCTTGGCAATGTCTTTATTCGCGTTTCCTCGTTGTTTGGCTACTACCATTCCTGCCTTGGTTGCCTAGAGAATATATTGATCAGTCCATGCATTTGAAGGTTTATCGTGGAGACACAAAGACCCAGAAGAGCTTGGTTAGGAATGTAGCCGGTTGTAGACATACCCTAAGAAGTTCTTCAGTGGCATTTACATCTCTCTTCAGAGTTTCCATAATGGTAATGACGTTTGCTGCCGGCTCTTTGTCATTGATCGCCTTTTGAAGAGCCGAAACTCTTGAGGTAAGTTCTCTTTGATCCATTTTGAAAGAAAGGAGATAGAGGGGTTTTGGTTGTATGCGATTGTTGTTTTTGCTGCAGACCGATAGGAAATGTTCGACGATATCGAAGAATCGGATTTGAGGCTGCGTAAATTCTATGTACGAAAATGAATTGAATTGGGTATCAGAAAAGTAACCAGATAAATTACAAAAGAAAGTGTGTCGTTGAGAAGGTTTTTGATAATTGTTTTCTAGAAGTTTGATGATTAAATATCACAAGGCTGATGTTACGGCCAAAAATGGTGTGCACGGGCCAATTGCTTGTGTTGTATAAACTTTCCCAGCAGCGAAAGGCCGTTTCCACTTCATCTCGCATTCTGTATCATATACAATCAGCTGTACTTGTTCCTTTCTCAAAAAGATTGACATTCAAAGTTGATATTGAATGTTGTGTTTGGTATTGCTCAAAGCTTGAGAATACACCATGTGAATATCCTCATTTTAGTCTAGCATTCGAACACCAATTGAATAGAATTTCTTGCGGCGAGATTTCGAGGTGTTTGATGATTTGTGTCATTCATAGGAGTCTTGACATCTTCCAGAAATTCTATCTGTTTTTCCTAGTGGGATTAAAAGTATCAAATATCTGCGTTCACAAAAGCACAATGGAAAGGATATCGGGTTTATCTTCATCCCCAAACTCCCCGGTGATAAGTCTATCTCCTGAGTACCTCCGTTGTTATATCGAGGATATTACGGATATTGCGGAATATTCCACCATTGTACATATGCACATCTATGAGGCTTAGGGACCACAATGCTATCGACCGGCAATTTAAACGGCGGTCTATGCTTGCAAAGTTGGTCTGTCAGCGCAACATTTTGAGTCATTGTATGAATGAGTGTCAAGTACGTCCTTGCTTTGAAAATAAGTATAAATATGTCAAGTTTTCCTCCGTTGTTTGTCCATTCGCCATACTACCAAACGAGTTTTCTCTAAATCAAACCTTTTCTCTTCTCATCACCGTATTCTCACGTCCCATACAATCGCCACAATGCAACCACTCGCTGGAAAAGTCGCCCTTGTAACCGGGGGAAGCAAAGGAATTGGTCGAGCAATTTGTCTTCGTCTCGCACGCGATGGTGCAATAGTAGTCATAAACTATAGCAATGACTCTTCCGCAGCAAACGAAGTTGCATCAGCTATCAGAGAGAAGAACACTACGGTTGTCAAAGCTGACGCCGGCAATATTGACGATATTTCAAGATTGGTTGATACAACCATTGAGAAACATGGAAAGATCGATATCTTGGTTGCCTGCACTGCAACTGCGAAGTTCAATGAATTGGAAAATGTCAGTGAGGAAGAATTTGATCAGACGTTCGATTTAAATGTCAAGGGTCCTTTGTTTCTCGCCCAGGTACGTCGTATATTCAATCATTATTCATGTGGCTTTCTAATGGTTCCAGAAATCCGTTCCTTACATGGCACCCGGATCCCGCATCATACTCTTCTCCACAACCCAATGTCACGCCAGCACAGTAGCACCACAATACCTAACATACATAATGTCGAAAGGTGCCATTGAGCAAATGACCCGAGGTCTTTCGAAAGATCTAGCACGAAAGGGTATTATGGTCAATACTGTAGCGCCAGGACCAACGGCGACCGAGCTATTCTTCAGAGGCAAGAGTGAACAACTTTTGAAGACACTTGCTGGCTTAAATCCTCAGAATAGGATCGGGAAACCAGACGAGATTGCAGAAGTTGTGGCATTTTTGAGTAGTGAGGCAAGTTCGTGGGTGACGGGTCAGACACTTCAAGTGAATGGTGGAATGGCATAAGTGTAGGGCACACTAGCAATCAGACTTGATTTTCTATTCGCTTAGCGAGTTTACATTCAGTCCGGTATGCTTAATAATACGAAGGCCTTATGATCAAGAAACATTAACATCCAATTCTACCTTCTTTGGTGATTATCAAAAGTTGGTAGTTTTCGGTAGTAATAAATCATTAAAATAATCATTACCATCTTCTATCCTTACTAAGTACAGCAATTCATTCTCACGTCCCTTTCACGCAGCTCCAGCATCCATCTTTCCATTTTCCAGAAGATCTGTCGTCCTACAGATGTAAGGGTTATAATCCGGTTCCTCTTCTAACACTTCTGCTCCTTCCTATTTAAGATATTAGTCACTCAATTCCATGCCGTCTCATTCCGTCTTTACGCCCATAGAATCTCGAGGTGTCGAATCAAGTTCTAACATCAAGGTGTCCAGCTTTTCGCTCAAATCACTTTTCTCATTTCCACTCTACCTATCCGCAAAAGATCCTCAAGCTAAGACCAGACCCTTAAAAAAAGGAATATGCAGAAATAGACTTACAGGGATAGGAACCATAGCCCTCTTAACCCAAATGTGTTTCGCCATTTTCCAATCCAATCCCTCAATACACCCTCCCTTCACACTAACAACACTCTTTCCAGGCGTGCTGTGGATTAGGCGTGTACCGCATGTTTTGCAGAAATAACAATTCACCGTGTGTCCTGAGGCTGTGGGACGACTTTAGGAGAAGAGACGTTAGTTTTTGTCGCTATGATCATGGGAGGAGGGGCGTATGGAATTGATAGAGGGGGAAACGGGAGAGGAGAAAGAATGCAAAGGAAACCAACGTATAAACCGCCAAAAAATCCGGACACGGCAATGGAAATCGGGGAAAGATAGCAGAAGCGCCAAATGCCGAGGAGGATTGTCGTTTGCATTCCTATAGATCTCTCGAGTTAGCTCCTGGTAGCATTATTCGTACTTGCTTCATCCATCCAATTCTACAACCCATCTCCAAAAACACACACATATCCTATAACTAACTCCATGACCCGAGGGTCACAAATACAAACCCCATACCAAAAAATGAAGAGAACAACAAAACCTTACATTACAATGACAAATATAAAGTGCCAGCGGTTTCGCCAACGGAGTTTTAAAAACTACATTTTGGCATTCGCAGGAGACGTTCATGGTTGCGCGCTCGCTTGCTTGCTTATTGGTTGAATTGGATGATGATAGAATGAGATGGGGAAATGTGGGGTAAATAGATAGATAGGTATACGGAGAAGGTGGTGAGATTCAATTGCAAAGATTGCTACTGATATAAGATATTTTGATCTCCTCCGAGCTGAAGAATCATCGAGAAAGAATGAATATGAAAAAGAAAATAAAGTGCTTAGAATATATGAGGTATTGTATGACACAATCTGGGAAATTTCGCAGATGAGAAACGCATGCACGGATGAGATGACTCCCTGCTTGTTTTCGGTTGAGTCATCGTCACATGACGACCTGCCTATAATTTCGTCTTCGTGTCGCGCTTGTTGGTCTCCTGGTAAATGATTTTTGTCTTATTAAATATTCATGAGGTTAGGTATCATTAGCTACTGTATATATATACATGGTTATCAAATAAATTGCGCTGGTAAACTGAACGCGAGCTTTGCTGTGACATAGATATCAGACTGGATGAAACAAGAGGATATTTCTGGACGAGAGTTGATTTAAAAAACGACAAAAGCTTCAACATTGTAGATTTCCATGTTTGAGTTCAAAATCGCGGAGGTTGTGTGACAATGTTATGCATGGCTTATATCAATGAGCCAAAGCATCAGTACTTTGTCGATCTCGTCCATGCGATTGACGACCTTCCTCTGCACCATGCTGACCTCTTCCTACATCAGAATGCTTTGCTGGATCGAATACATAGATGGGAAATTCCAAGAAAATTGTCCTTTTCAATATCGTAGGGAGTTTCTCATAGATTTGGGGTGGGAAAGGGATGAGAATGCTCGTTCGGTTTAGATATCGAGAGTATTCCTCCCAGTGATTGTCCTTCTCATATCGTTTCTTTGCACCAGGTCTTTCTTGGAGTGTCAAACCGGATACAAACATGAGTAGGGTAGTGAGGAAGATTGCACCGAGAATTGAAGCATAGAGAGCGGAACGGGCTCCACCATGGACATAGCCTTCGGCGGCAGGTGAGACTGCAATCATATAGATAGCTGCGATTCATTAGCGAGAGAAATATGTAGTTAGATGAGATGGCCTACCAAAATGAATGATGATCTCCCCAAAATAATTTGGATGACGACTCCATGAGAAGAAACCCTTGTCGCAGATTTTCGACTTGTCGCTATTGTTGACTTTGAAAAGATATTTCTGAATATCGCTCACACTCTCCATGATAATACCAATAGCGTAGAGAATGACTCCCGCGATATCACTAGCAGTGCCGAAAGCAGGCTGTGGGAATCTCGTGACTTTTGGGGAATTCAATATGGTGACCGGGAAAGAGACAACCCAAACCCAGAACATTTGGAATACCCAAAAGCCAAGAAACTTGAAGAAATTGTCACGCTTATCATCGAATCTATCATCTTTTCCGGTTTTCAGGATCCGGAATAATAGGAAAGCTGATAGGCGTGCTCCCCATACCATGATAAAAAGAGAGGCGACGATTTGACGTGCATGGTGATGACCACTGAATGCAAGCGTTATGATGGCAAGTACAACGAAGTTTGTTCCTCCAGCAAAATCTGAAATTAATATTAGCAGCTATCGAGTATATTTCGAGAAAAATAGGCTTGGTCTGACCTGTTAGTTTATCAAATTTGAGAGAAAATGCAATTGCGAAGAAGAACAATTGATACGCAACTGTAATCAAGAACGTTATTGCGAGGTAGTAATCATCTAATACATGGACGACGGTCATATCTGCGATATACAGTTGAACGTGTCTAAATGCGATGGTGGTTATGGTCCTTTACAATGGTTCGACGTTGTGGAAATGTCTCGAAGCAGAGGGGGAAGAAAAGTAAATATGATGGGATCTTGGGATGACAAGGCACTGCTTCTTGCCGTGTTGGGGGAGCTTGATGTCAGCCTAGCCTAGCTCTTAGAACTTGCCGTTCGTGTAATCGAGTCAACTTGTAGTAGATGTTACCTCCTAGTACCGGTATTGGTATTGTTAAATTGATACTGGAGTGTAATAGTCACAAAGGCACCGCATCAAAGAGGATGAAATGACCGATGTGGCTTAAAAATGTTTGGTTTTGGAGCTAGATAGAGATATGTAAATGCACTTCGGACACCCACGAAACTCCGTTGGGGTTCTTCCTCCTCTCCCCTTCATCGTTGAAACATGTGTGAAATCGACATTTCTGGCTTGGTACTTGGTGATAAACCTTCGCTAGATCGTGACGTACTCTATCTAGATGGGTACTAGGTAGTCTCTTCTGATTATTAATCAATAATCAATTTTACATATCAATCGAGGCTAGCTCGGCTAGTATCATTATAATAATCAGAGTCCAATGTAGATTGCTAGCTGGTAGGTACGGACACGGAGTACAGCATTGTAGATAGAAGTCGGAAGTTAATACGCCCGATCCTCTCTATTGACTTTTAAGCTTCATTTGCTACCCGAGTCCCGGCGTCTGGAATTTTCTACTCTGTCACGTGTCAGTGTGCTAGGCACTAGCATTTACGAGGTAACGAGGTAATCTATGCAAGGCTGATGGTTTGATCATTCTTGGGATTGATGAACATACCCGTGGACCTACATATCCTGGGTTTAATATATCTTATTATATTTCTAATCGTCTTCCATCCTTCTAATCTTACAAATTTGTTGCGTCTCATAGTAAGAAACATCTTCGTATGGGAATTGCTTCCACAAGATACCACAATCTGCATGTGATATCCACAGATAGGTATATAAAGCTGATCTACACATCCAAGTCATCGTTAAACATATTCCATCACAAAACTCTTTAGATCCGAGATCCGATAGGACAACAGCAATAACGGTTCTAGTTGCGAATTTCGAGTTTCTGATGGGGGTCAAACATTTCAACGTAATCCTCCCTAACATCGTCGCGCACTCCATTCAAATTCATTGATTCCACTTCCACTATACCTTATACACCCAAGGAAACCCGATGGAGTCTGCACAAAGCTTGTTTGCCATTCCAGGATTCATAATCCTCATTGGACAACATACTTGGAGTTTACAATTTGTACAACGGTTTGGGAATTCTCACGCCGCCAAGCTAGTCTGAAACCCCACACGTCTGGGATTCATTTTCCCCATACCAGGTGTACTTTCAAAAACTCTCTGACGTTTGAGATTCTTGCATCTCTTACATCCTAGGCAAATATCCTATCAAAAGTATTTCAAGCCACCACTTGCAAAGTATGCCTTTGCACTAGTCTCGTATCCTTACTGGATTTCCCTGCTGTTTATGTTATGCGTCGAGTTTCTTTCACTCAATCGTACCGCCGGGACCCTTGAACTCTTTCGATTTTTACCTGATCGAATCAATCATTTTGTCATGTCTGACTCCAGTGTGCCACTGTGAGTGTTGGCAAAGCTTCCCTATTCATATAAAAATTGAATCATATACCCCTGGCGGTTCGTAGACTTGATGGCGCCACGATCCCATATTCATCCGTCCATGATTCTCCCTTGGGCGTCGGGGATCTACATCTAGGACTACGCACTGCAGTGCTTCAACTCTCAATCATAGCGCCAAGGCTCATTGATGCACGGCTTGAGGGTCGTATGCATATCTGTTTCCACTTCCCTCATTGAATCACTTATCATCTGAGCACTCTCTTTTAAATCTCTTGTCATCTAATCAATTATAATTCTGCAGCTGCAGGTCACGCTCACTCATTACTTTTCATATTCTTTGCTTCATACAACGGCTGGGCTGTTGAGTACATTCATTGATACCTAAATTCAAACATCCAAGGGCAGGATACCAAATTATATTATATAACGGCAATATTGGAGAGGAGGATGAAGAGCTTTATAAGAGCATCGCTATTAGTGGCAGTGGGGGCGGCAGGTCTTGCACAGGTATGGTTTGAGAGGTGGTTCATGTTGTCGATGGTGGCTGATGATAATCTAGGGATATCGGTATGAAGCTAGAGGTTTAAGTGATATCATTGCCGCTCTCGAAGGAGGGGAGAAAGCGAGCGCAGCACCCGCGGTGACAAAGGAAATCACAAAGACAATGACTGTCACAAAGATTGCTCAGGGAGCAGCGGCGCCAACAGGAGCTGCAGTACAAGCTGCCGGAACTGGGTATGAAAACCAGTCTTTCAGAACTAGTCAAAAACTAACAATTCCAGTGGCCAATTCTCTTTCCTCACTTCGACCGTCTTCGGTTCAGGAGCTCCGCCTACCGTTACTGTCACTCCACTACCTCAAATGGTTACCCAAACAGTCACCGAAACTGAGCAAGTAATGGTAACTATGATGGCTACGCAAATGTCAGTGGTAACATCTATGGTTACTATGACTATGATGCAAACAACTACCGTCATGGTATCAGGTATGTTGAATCCATATTTAAGATATCTTCCATGGAACTAACCCGATATCAAAGTTCCAATGCAAGGTGCTACAACAGCAGCATCAATTAGCACATCCTTAACTGAAGCTGCTATTCAAGGAGCTACAGTCGCGAGTGTCACCACATCAGCTGCGATACAAGCTGGAGGATCACCAGCTCCTGCACTGGGAGCTGCACAAGTCGCACAGCCAAATCCCGTGGATATCAACACATTCTCCTTGTCCAGCAGTTTAGTCCTTGGTAATCTTGCTGTGGCGACAGCGGTCTGAGATCAGAGCTTGATGCTCGAATAGTAATGAAATGGGTTTAAAAGAGAAGTAATATTAGATTGTGTAGGGCTATACTCCCGAAAGATACCAAATTCGTTGTAAATATACGTTCAAAAAATGACACCACAAAGGAAAAAAATAGCAAAAGAATATAAAAATCAACTATTAGCTTTCGCTTTTATTATATTATTAGTATCTATAATTGCAGGAGCTGTAGGAGATGTTTCCTTCGATGAGCTCGAATTGGAGTCGGCGGCTTTCAAGGCTTCCATCCTCTGTTTCTTTGCCTGTCTCTTACTTATCTGGGGTTGCTCGTTCTCCTTCACCTCATTATTATCATCGGCTTTCCTTTTTCCCTTTCCCTTTTCCCCATTATTTACTTTAGTCTTCTGTGCCTCGCTGATTTCAGTGTCCTTCGCAACGCTCCGTTCACCACCATAAACCACATCCACCAATCCTCTGTAAGAACTTCTTTTTAGTCCCTCATTTATAACCACCGATCTTGGATTGTCGCCCAATCCTTCCATGCCTCTTTCTCTACCCAATCCCCATACTGCCATCAAATTGACTACATCTGCTGGGCCTCTGATACCCAATGCAGTCTTGGCTTCACTACTTATGACAATCCCTCTTCCCCTCGTAGCTCTGAATATGCCCAGACAATTACTTATAAAGTTTTTGCGCGCATTTGAATCTTCCATCGTAGCTTGCGCGTAACATATCTCAAATCTAATGCCACGATGTATAGCAGCCATGAGAGGCTTAGGTTTGAAGTGAAATGGATATCGTTGTGTGAGATCAAGGGATATGAGAGAGTGCTCAGCTAGATTAAGACATGCTGCGAGAAATGCCTTTTCTGTGGTAGGGCGAATTGCGACAATATCGTAGGCGGATGAAATGGCTGAGAGACGGTGGTTGAGGGAGGGATCGGAGAGAGTGAGGGTGCAACGGCGGAGAATGACTGTTTTGGGAGGCACTGTGAAAAGGAATTTCGTAGGTATTGGGTTTGTTATAGTGGAAGGAAGCGGTCCGCTTTGGATGTGATTAAGAGCTATGGTGCCGTAGCCTAATTCTGAAAGAAATGAGATTGTCCTTTGGAGATCAAGAGGGTCTTTACTTGATGACCAAGGAATATTGAGATCGTAGAGCATATTCGCGTTAGTTCTGTTGTTTGATATGCCTTTGCATTGATAATCCTCCGATAGATTTCCTTGCGATGGGAAAAAGGTGTACTATATAATCGCGAAAGATGAAGCTTGATAACAAAAATTATTATCCGTCATTCAGCCTTGGCCAACTTTTGAAAAGGCTGTCGGTAACCTTTTATTTAAGGCCACCCGATCGAAAATAACTCCTGCGCTAGCGCGGGGTGTGTTTACCATCCATCAAGAATTCGTAGCACATCAACATCAGATCATTATTTTCTACAACATCGTACAAGGTCATCCTGCGAATCTTTGCCAGAACCATCCGGTCGAACAATCAGGTTCTTATCAATCGGCGACTCACTCCGGATCTCGATATTTTCGAAAAGGCGGTCTCTACACGATTTGCGCGGCGCCGCCTTCCCATACTAGGCCGGCCGCAAAATGGCTCGCGTCTATGCGGATGTCAACCAGCAGATGCCACGGGCATATTGGGATTATGATAGTGTAAATATTACCTGGGGCGTATTGGAGAACTATGAAGTTGTGCGCAAGATTGGTAAGTCGGCAATACCTCCTTCCCCAAGAGTTGTTTTGCTTTTACCCGCTCGTGGCTATGTGTGTGCTGCTTACTGACACGCGGATGTGTGTCCATGTAGGACGAGGAAAGTATTCGGAAGTCTTTGAGGGAATCAATGTGGCCAACTACCAAAAATGTGTGATTAAGGTGTTGAAGCCGGTCAAGAAGAAGAAGATCAAGAGAGAGATCAAGATCCTACAGAACTTGTCAGGAGGCCCAAATATTGTCGCCCTCCTTGACGTTGTTAGGGATAGTCAAGTAAATCCAACTTTTCCTTCTCTCCCGGGCGAACCTTTTTCCCTAGTTGGGAAGACGGGCAAATGCGCGCTCACTGGCCTTGAACAACCCCTTGAAGAAGAAACAGACGACTCATTCATGATGCAGAGCAAAACACCTTCGTTGATTTTCGAATTCGTCAACAACACCGACTTCCGTAGCCTTTACCCTAAGTTTATCGATTACGATGTTCGATTTTATATTTATGAGCTCTTGAAGGTATGAGGTCCCAATTTTCAGAAAACCTTGAAGTTTCTAACGTCGATAGGCATTGGACTTTTGTCACAGCAAAGGCATTATGCACAGAGATGTCAAGCCTCATAACGTGATGATTGATCATGAGAACAGAAAGGTAGGATTCTCAATAGCTGGAAGAATATCTTGACTGACTTGTAGGATTAGTTGAGACTTATCGATTGGGGTCTTGCGGAATTCTATCATCAAGGCACCGAGTACAACGTCCGAGTCGCATCAAGATATTTCAAGGGACCTGAATTGCTTGTTGACTTCCAGGAATATGACTACTCCTTGGATATGTGGTCTTTAGGTGCCATGTTCGCTTCGATGATTTTCAGAAAGGAACCATTCTTCCACGGAAATAGCAACTCGGATCAATTAGTCAAAATTGCTAAAGTTCTCGGCACTGAAGATTTATTCGACTACCTCGACAAATACGAGATTGAGCTTGACGCACAATATGACGATATTCTAGGCAGATTCCCAAAGAAGAACTGGCACAGCTTTGTCAATGCTGAGAACCAACGATTTGTTACTAATGAAGCTATCGACTTCTTAGACAAACTTCTCCGATATGATCACCAAGTATGCCTACCGTTATCAAGCCTCGTCTTACATATACTGACATGTGATTTAGGAACGTTTGACTGCTAAGGAAGCCATGGCCCATCCTTTCTTTGCACCTATTCGTGCTGATGAGGCGGCTGCACGTGGTACCCCAGCTCCTACTACATGATTCCACTCCATCCGATACGACTTTAAAAACTTACCCGACATTCATATACGGGCTCATTTTTGACTTTTAACGTTCATATGAGCTAGTCCAATTCTGAATAGCGTTATGCCATTTGGCTTGATAATGTTCTTCTCTCAGAGCCGCCTTCCATACTTCACTTTAATACATCGAGTATGAGAATCATGGGGATGTTCGTTTCGATTGGGGGATCTGGAGGAGGGTTGCAGGACCAGGCGTTGATGAATTTTTTTACGCGACCGAAGTTGCATACCCTCTGCTCTTACTTTTCGTCGAGCATTGAAAGTTTTAATGCGAACTCTAGATAGGCTAAATCAACTCAAGATTTTGTGTTTATCGCGTTATAGTCCATGCGCGGTCTTTCAAAATATAATATATTGTTTTTTACTCCTCTTGTCCCCATTGTTCTTGATGTATTGGATGTTGTGCCTGTGAGGGGTGTATGACATGATTCGTGGACCGGGAGCGGGGAGACGACTTTGCTCCGGTCCCGCCCCACAGCGTCCAACCTTTGAAAGATAAATCCCCAACGGCGACGGGTTGGGATTACCATTTCCTCTCCGTTTAACATTGAGGTAATATTCTCGATATATGAAAAGCGAATTTAGAAATACGTGATGTCAACAACCAATCATATAGGAAAGAGTCACCTCAGCTCCCGGGCATGCGGGACTTGCGCATTGGCAAAAGCAAAATGTGTACCACGACCGGGAGGATTAAGTGCGAAATGTGAAAGGTACATATGACTGAAGTTTTCATTGCCATTATACTAGGCTATTTACTAATCATAATAGATGCCATCGTCTAAAGAAAGATTGTGTGGCACAAACTCCTTCTATAAGGGCTCATAAGCCTCAGAAGACTACGTATGCACTGTTCTCTCCACAACTATTTATCACACTTTTAATGTCGATTCTAGTCGAGTTGCACAATTAGATAAGAAACTTGATGGAATTGTGAATCTCCTGCAACAGCAACAACAAGGCGTTCATTCCCAAGATGCAAAGCCGACATTCTCTCCACTAGTCATCAATGAAAACATCCTCCCCAGATCACCACCCCTCTCCGAACTAGAACCGGTAAATCCAATTCCTAACAGAAATACTTCCCATGTCATCCCTGAACCCCTCGAACCGAGTAAAAGGCAATCCGTCTATGAAAAAAGCACAAATGCCTGTCTTCTCGCCCACGCCAACTCGGATCTCGAGCCCAACGATAAGGAGATCGAGAGGCTGGTAAGATTATACCAGATGGAAATGACGGCGAAATTTCCCTTTGTGGTCATTGAAACGGGAGGATTGACCGGGAAGCAATGGGTGGCGAGCAAACCCGTGCTGGGAAAGGCGGTTTTGATGGCGGCGAGTTATTATAATTTGCCGAGGCAGACGGTTTATGAGACGGCGTTGGTGAGGGATTTGACGGAGAGGATTATGGTGAGGAGGGAAAAGACTTTAGAGTTGTTGCAGACGATTTTGGTTTTTTGTGGTTGGTGAGTAGTTTGTTTTTCTCTTTCGTTTCTGTAACGCTCTTGTTGGGCTGGTGGGCAAGAATCGCAATTTCGGTTGCTGTCTGAACGAATAAGACGTCTTTTGGATACCAAAGAAGCTCGAGTTCAGAGACTTGGAGGCTAGAAGTAGCATAATTTGTTTTAGAAAAGGTAATTTACTGACACATATAAATGATTAGGTATCATTACCATTGTTTAGGCCATCCTCACTTGAACAATCTCATAGGCTTAGCAATGGGGCTTGCTGGGGACTTGGGACTGAATAAACCACCATCAGCCGATAGATTCAGGTATCCATTTGGCCACAGTAGAGCCACAGCGGGAGATTTCTCAAGAAGAACTATGGAGCAGAGAAGGGCTTTGGCTGGTTTATTCTATCTAACTTCTTTGTAAGCTTCAGAATTTATTTTATTTTATTTCATTTCAATGCATCTTTGCTAATTTACGTCTAGAGTTGCAACGGGCTTTCAGCGTATAGATGCTATGAGATATTCCATACATCTTGATGAATGTGTTCGTTCCATAGAGAAGAAACCAGAACATACTACAGATCTCTTAATAGTTGAGTTAGTGAAGATATCGCATCTTGGAGAAAAGATTGGGCAAGCGGTCTTACTTGTTCAGAATGATGGTGAAATTCAAGTCCCTACTGCATTGAAGTTGGGTTCATTTCAGATGGAGCTAGATGTGTTGAAGAAGGGTGTTCCTAGTGCTCTAGAAGATAATGGTACGTGTTTCAATTCATTCTTTTTTATAAGTTGAAATCATGTATTTCAGTTAGGCTTCCACACTTAAATGGCTCTTGTAATTAAGGAACTAATACGTACAATCAGTAATCCTACAGCTTCACCATCACATTTCCACCATCCGTCTCTATGAAGTCGCGTTGACTAATGGCTGGATACCCACAAACGCAACGCAATCACCTCAATCTATTTCAGCAACCCGAACAATTCACCCACCGCCTTTACATCCGTCTCAACTCCAATCTCTCTACACCTGTCTCCACCACACACGCTCTTTCGTCCACTTAATTCTCTCTGTTCCTCCGTCCACCTATCTAAGTCAACCTATTGCCCCATGGTCCCTCCTCGCCTATGCCCTCATGGTTCTCGCCCGTCTGTCCTTCTATCAAAACCCACTTCTCCCCTCCTGGACCCTCAATTTCGTCCGCGAAGTCTGCGATCTCTCCTGGGTGTTGAAAGAGCTAGCAGAGCGTAACGATAAAGCGAAATTTGTAGATATTAACATCACTACCGAAGATGGAGAATGGGGGAAAGACGCAGAGGTGGGTAGTGATGGAAGAAGGGTAGGAGAGGGCTGGACAGATTGTTTCGACAAGTTTGCGAGGAAGATTCGTTTAGTGAAGGGGTGGTATGATCAGAAGGTTGCGGCTTATGGGAGTTCGGCGCAGTCGCAGCCGTTGGGGTACGGGTTCAGAGTCGATAGGAATGCGGTGGAGGGTAGTGGTGGTGGGAGCGAGGATGTTATTGAAGGGGCCACGTTGACGCAGGTTGATACTGGATTGGGGGTGTGGTAAATGAACAGGCGAGCTCAGATGCATTGCCAGTGTTGGGTGATATGGATATGAGCTCTTGGGATGGATTCGATGAGCAGAATTTTTGGATGGATTTGGGTGGGGAATGGGATATAGATGGATTGGAGGCTATGAGTGCTATACTGTAGGTACACTAAATGCATGTCTCTGAAGTTCCATGCTCTTCTATTCTCATTGTCCGACTGAAGAACGGATCGTGTATGGTTTGGATTCGAGAGGGAACCTCCGAGACCTCCTGAAAATCTCGAAGCTCAAAATTACCTGCTCAGACAAACCTCGATCAAATCTTCCCACTCCTTTCAAAAATGCTATTGTTTATTTCGAAACATGTTTCTCGCATCATTCTTTTCCTGTTGCAGCGTTGTTCATAATATCTTTGTGTTGTGATAATTGTGGCGTAATACCTGGAAGCTCGGTACCCCTGGCTCAAACACGAACTTGGAATTACAAAGAACTCCCTTTTTTTGCTACTGGCTATCTCAGCCTCGAACTTCTTCTTCTGAGAACCTTTGAATTTGCCTTCCTTGAATCATATTGTATCTGTTGTGGTATTGTTCCATTATGGAGTTCAGATCTTGAACAACTGCTCGAGGGGAGTATATAAATCGGAATATCTCCCCTAGTATTTGCTTTTCTATTACCCAGTTTCATCAATTACAATCACTTCCACAACTAAACAACCTTCCAAATTCTCCAAACCATTGAAGTATAGCAGCCTATTCCAGAATTTTTCTCCTCCAGATTGACCTTCAAAGCATAATAACCAAAAACAACATCCAAAAGTCTTCATCTTCTTCCACCCAAAATGTCTCAAACACGCGCCGCCTAATCTCTCGTCCAAAGTCTCTCTCCTCTCCCCCCCCAATACTCTCCCCGCACCAGAAAACTCAGCGCTCGCGAAGCTACCCGCGCATTCGTTTCTAGAGAGGTTAAACACATGGTCAGAGTAACAAGAGGAGACAATACTCGGGAGATCCGCAAACAGGCTCGCAAAGCACGGGATATGGATAGAAGGCTCAAGATTCAGAGGTATTGGGAAGATTATGAGGATGCTTTAAAGGGGGAGTGATGAGTGAATATGAAGGAGAGAGTGTTGTTCGTGTTGGTGTTGTGATATCCTAGGTGTTGTGGTTGTTGTTTTCTTGTTGTTGTTGGAGGAGGAGAGAAGCATCGACCCCAGATTTGAATACTTGGATTGATTGCATGATGTTGTAGTTTCTTTCTTCCTTTCTTTCTTGCGCTTTCATTCTGACTGAAGCTATGAAGGGTAGACTACTCCTAAATGGAACCAGTCAGAATCTATACAACTATTCTAATTAGACTCATATAATTGATTTGCGATTTTGAAGTTTTGACTTGACATGTGCGTATTTTTTTTTCTCTCTTTCACAAAAGAGGAAATTATTGTAATAGCAACCCCTTTTGATTCATATTATGCCCTTCACTTGAACTATAACCTAGGAAAGCTCACCATGTGACTTTGATAATAACGGGTCTGGCTAAACAAAACAAACCCAGTCTAATCCTACTATTTTGAATTATTGAGTCGGGGGTCTTTGAAGTGAAAATGGGATGCAATTTGATAACTGAATTTGGGATAAGAAAGATAAAATAGTATTGAATAGGGGTTCGCTCGCTTGCCCCTATATTGTACAATCAGCGCTTTTTAAACCCCGATTATGCAATGCAGTAAATCATATCATTTTCTAACCACAAACTACTACCCACACCTCTACATATAATCTCCTCTAGATGAAGCTCAAGCCTCCACGTAATCCACTCAACTCGTCCCTCAACTCCAAAACATCAACTCCTACCCTTCCAGCTACTTCTCCTCTCCTCTGACTCCCAAGTTCCATCCATCTTCCTAGCACTCCTCCATCAATAATAGTTCTTCCTCCTACAATCCCCTCATTTGCATCTCTGTCTATTCGGTATGCTCTGGGATTGAGACCGCAGGGATGATAGAGGGTGTTTGTAAGATGTGAAACGAGAGTGCCGAAGCGTCGGTATTGGGATTCTGTTAGAGGTGAGAGAAGAGCGAGGGTGCCGGTGCGAGAAGTGAGAAGGAGGGGTTGAGAAGGAGAGGGTGTATCTTCTTGAGGTGAGGGACTAGGAGATGGAGAGGGGGCAGTGGTTAATGGGGGTAGTGGTCGGGTGGTGGGAAGAAGTGTCATGGTTGTGGGGTGGTGAGCACCGAGGGAGAAGGTGGTGCGGTGAAGGAGGAGGTGGCCCTGGAGAGATTTGGGATCTGTGTATTTGTAAGTCAAGGAGTTAGTGCAAGCCAATTGGCCGAGAAAACAGGAAATGGAATGAAAATCAGAACATACGTTCAGGATCATATTGCATAATATGCAAGTTCCCATCAGCGTCTGCAGCCACAATAAACAGATCTTTTCCATCTGGTAATAGGTCTGCACACAGTACTTCCATCTTCGCAGCACTCTTTCCAAAGAGTAGCATCCTGTACGGTTCTTCCGTATATCCCGCAAACCAAACACCTTTCAAAGCGTCCGCCATTACGCAGAGACCGGTACCAGGTAATTCCTTGACAGAAGTAACATAGCAATTCATATCCATAAATGCAACTGGCAAGTTTGTGCCATCTTCCTTGAGACCTCTGACCATACATTTTTGGCCTTGCGCAACAAGCATGAAACCCTGAGTTCCAATTTCGGAAAGACCAGTTACGGGACCACCGGCACCACGAGTGATGATCTCAGAAGAGATCAGTTTTAATTTTTTGTTTGTCTCAGGTCTATCTGGTTCTGGAACAACGGTAACGACATCATAAACGTAGAGGCGACCAGTGGTTGCGAGATCTTCTCCTTTGGTTATAGCTGTTCCAACGGCAATCAAGTGTTTACGCTCGTTGGTGACTTCTGATATCACCAGATTCATCGTTTTTATGCAGGTTATGAGTTCGCAGGGTTCAAGTTCGATGGTATCGATGACGGACCAGTTCACGGGGCTGATTAATTTGAGAAAGCTTTTTTCGATTGATGGCTTCAGGGCAATGTTTTCCTCTTGCCAAGTTTTGCGGTGGTCATCATCTTTGGGCAATTCAAAGTCCGTGAAGGTGCTTGTACCTATAACATATGTTTGTAGCGGTGGATGATATGCCACAGCGTGAACATCTTCACCTATCTCAATCTTTCGTAGGGCCATTCCAATATCGGCAAACGTGGTATTTGGTGGGAATTGTGCTACGCGGGCGACTCCCTCTGTGTTGGCATAGATGAATCCTCTGTCACAACCTTCGGTATGAAAACTACTAAGACTGCGAACTCCTGTTCCTTGCAGGCTGAGAACTTTGGGTACTGTTTTAGAGCTCTTGATGATGAAACTTGGAGATCCGCCTGGCATGAAGACAGTACTGTACCCACCGAGATTTGAGATAGCTCGCATTGGCTTATCGCTGGTCTGTTGAGCTCCATCGGCCTGCTCTTCAGCAGACACATCAGGAGCTTGTGTCAGATGCATGTTCTGTATCTTCAGAAATTGAAGTGTAGATGAGAGAAGATCCGGAGACGCAGACTTTATTCGGAACGGTTCATAGATGGTAAGATCATCGTTTGAGGGTCGAAGCTAAATCAGTTAGTACATAAAGGAGTAGATTCAAGTGCAGATTCTTACAATAAGATAAGGGGATTGAGAAACAGAATCTCCTAGGTTAGCTACTAATATCTCTGTCAAGGTTTCCCGAGCTGCCGATTTCCTGGCTGTATAATCGGCTGAAAGCACAGGCGGAACAAAACATATTCCTTCCGCGACATAAATTGGCTTAGAAAGATCGGGCAGTGCGTAAATCTGAAAGTATTAGGAATTGAACCGTGGAAAGTTTGGAAGAAAACTCACGTGCAGTGCTCCACCCGCACTAAGTAAAAACATCTTAACATTCTCCCCTGCCTTGTTCGATTTGCCATCGGAGAAAGCTCCGCTATAGTCATCATACAAACAGCCAGTCAGCCATTTCGTAGAAAGCAAAATATCATCAACCCTTTCTATCTCTTCAAGGTCATTGTCGTCGTCACATTGTGCAACAAAAATGCTCGCATCGTCTCTTATTAGTAGGAGAAATGGATCTGCGAAGCTTGCACTGATGATCTTCGGCTCTGCTCCCGTCTCATCATCGAGCATCGGCAATATTTGTGCAAGACCAAGATCTACACCACAGATACAGAGTCAGTTACGCTTCTAATTAATCATATAGTGGCGCGAAGAGGCATGTCGCAGGGAACAGATTGCATGAGGCACAGTTGTAATGTTGATAATTCGCTTTCATTGTTGCTATAGGATATGATAGATTTCCAGATAGCGCCCCGGACGGCGAAAACATATAAGCGGAAAATAAAAAATTTCCCCAAGACTTGTCCCAGCCTACATGCCCATCCATCCGACCACACGAGTTGAAAGGGGTATGATTCAAGGAAAGGTGCGAACTTACCACCGTCATAACTTCTCACTTCAGACTTTAGAATTTGAACAACACGCATGCCATTGCCAAGCGTACCAGCTTCGATTGTGGATCCAGCGGCTGGTTCGAATTCTGTCCCGGTTAAAGCTTCAAAACCGGCATCCGTTAACGCATATACAGCAGATTCGTCAATAGCATCTTCGGCATCAGAAGCTTTGGAAACTATCATTAGTCTATCATATTGAGCATCGACGCCATAGTCACCGCTAGTGACAGATTTCTCCTTATTCACTTGTAATCCTTTCGGTGCCGGTCTCTTTGTGCTCATGGTCCATATACCACGAGCTTCTGGTAACTCGAATCGGCCTATGACGTTTGGTTGGATTTCACGATTAATGACTGCCAAGGAGCCTCCTTTTTCACGACCGACAGCAGCTACGAGCTGAAGTTCGCTCTGAACACCGCTAAGTTTTAGCTCTTCTTCCTTACCCAAACTCAATGCGGTTTCTCCGAACACGATGTTTGTGATTGGTGCTATGTTGACCATGGAATCATGTATACGAAATGTGTAGTCACCCGTTTTACTGTTTGATGCAGTAATATTTGCAGTAGCATGAGTGATTGTGGGTCCATCGCCGTACAGATCATCGTCATCATCTTCTAAATCTTCATCTTCAAGCATGGATTCATCAACTTCAGCTATTGCTGAACTGTCAAGCTTTGACTTCCGACGTGAAGTTTGTCCCGACTTCCTAGTCCAGCCTAGAATGACAGAATCTGATACCTCACTTCCAACGAATAATGATCCTGCGCCAAGAGAACTTACACATGACGCAGCTCCAGTCAATATGGCGCCTCCTAACTCTGCACTTACTCGTCGAATGCTTAGGCCAGAGACCGATCTTCCGTCCATACGAAAGCTCAGGATAGCAATATCGCCACTATGTAGTATAATGAGCATCTCTCCATTTTCGATAGATAGTTGGTCAATTTTGCAACCTTCTAACCGAAGGTCAAGATCAGACTGGTCCAGAAGACTGAAGCCAGTACATTGCTTTGCAAACATGTTGACAGCAACACCGTTAGCTTTACCAGCTTGATCGATATGTATCAACTCATTAGTACCAACTAGAAGAGCTCCGCCCACAGGTGGGGCTAGTGGGATGATTCTGAAGAGGTCGTAAGGCAACCCTCCAACGGAAAGAATGGTGGTCGACGCTTTTTGATGTATATCCAGGGTGAACACCATATAAGTCAAGTGATCTCGACGCTCTTGCAGTAAAGCCGAAGATGGTGCCATGGTAGACGTGAGAATTCCAAAAGTTGGCTCTCTATATTCATACAGAAATTCGAGGTGGATTGTAAAGATGATGTTGGGATCGAGTGAAGATAATCGTAGAACAAAAGAGGATCCATATGGTGTATCTAACTTTCCATCTTCCGCTGCAGTCTTTTGTGAAATTTTCGTAGGGCGAGGGCCGTCCAACTCCTCATCCCAATCGTCCATATTGACATCTTCGTCTTGTTTAAAAGGCAGAATTGCAAGGTTCCGCGCTCCGAATTTCAATGCAGCACACCTGCTTCCTGGGTCGACAGTAAGGTAATTGACACAGTCTGAAAGACTTGGTGCCCATGGACTTCCTTGCAGTTCGTCTTGTTCATAAAAATGGACTGAGATTGTTGATATGCCAGGCCGTTCTGGGTCCCATTCCACCAAACTGAGCTTTGCATCCTTGAATCCCACTAAAAGTGCTTCACCTCCAGTCTTTGACGATATAGTCTTCACCCGAACAAGAGATGTGACCGTCCCAGATAAGTTATATTCAGCTATAAGTACGAGTTTCGTTGTTCGAGCTAATTCTGGTCGCTGTATAATCGAATCTGTGCCGAGAAAAGAGTCTTCGACTCCGTCATCGTTATTAACTCTAGGATCAATATTTGTGTCATCTTTTGCTGTCGAAGAATCCTTTCCAGATAGGTCGTCGAGATCCACGGATACGGTCTTGGTTGTAAATATCTGTAGTAACGAGGATTTTGCGACGACGAGGTTTCTGGCATCTGCGGACAAGAAGGGGAGAGATAAGGAATGTGTGACAGCTGTAGGAGGTGTCAGCTCCGTATAGCATTGCATTATGGACTAAAGTAAAGCATTAAAAGCACCAAATCGTAGTAAAATTCGAACTTCTGTTGAAGTTGTTGATATGGATACTCAAGATTATCAGTCCAGTCAAATGTCGGTGCGTCGCGACCCGCGATTTACACAAATTTTAGCGTTCTCGGTGCTGGACGACTGTATTGACCTATCACTGTCCCTTGAAGCCTTCATGCAGCTTTTGGAGGTCCTGGCGGTCCTGAACGCTGATCCCCGCAACCAACGCCCATTTACGTCAGACGTCTAGAATCCTGAATATTGACTACTGGTGAGCTGGTATAACAGGAAACAAAGCAAAGCAAATCAAAGCAACATAAAACACAATTTTAATATATTCGAGATCGGATTCCTCTTGATTTCGAATAAGACAAGACCAACAGTGTTTTGGTGACGATATCGATCGAAAAACACCATCGATACTTGAAATCCATTTGATACATTCGCGAGGTATATTAAGATGATCTTCTTCCCGTCATTTATACCGTCTTTTCCTTTTCTTTGCTAAGTTTCCGCATGCGTACCACACCAACTACTCATTCATTTATATCATCAACAATTCAAGCACTGCTAATATCCATCTGCGATTCTAGTATCCAGTCCTCGCCTGCAACATGGCGCTCATACAGACTGCATTTATATGGGTTGCGTATGCCGTTGCTGTAGGCATCGTAGCTCTAATAGCAGCTATTTTTACCTATACGTATCAAACACCACGCGACCGCTCAGCTCTGGTTTCTACCGTCACGATTATCACATTGACCTCCCTATTGGCAACGGTTCTACTTCTTCCTGTTGATATTGCTCTTGTCAGCTCGACGACCTCGAAGCTTGGTGCAAAGAAAGACTGGGCAACTCCCGAGACTGTCCACAACATCCTCCTAACTCTAAAAATTGTTTACTATGCATTATACAGCTTGGATGCCGTTCTATGCCTTCTTGTTATCCCATTCACATACTTCTTTTACGAAGAATACGATGAAATCGATTCGGAGGAAGGCACGCAGACATTCGGCCAGAGATTCCTCAGTGCCGCAAAGTACACACTATTTTTTGTTGTCCTGGTCGTGATTTTGTTCTTGGTTGGATTTTTTGTACCTGTCGCAAAGAATCGTGGATCCGATATGGATCTAGACTACTTCAAACGTCTTTTGGCTGAGAACCACGGAGAGCGTGCCTTAACTTTCGCATTGGGCCTATTGATTTCATTGGGCACGTTGTTATACATACTTTACACATCTGTTGGATTGGCATTGTTACCCATATCTTTCATCAAATCTTCACCTTCAATCAGCGCGCCACAGCTTTCAGAAACAACAGCATCAGCTCTAGAGCAAAACAGAGAACGACAACGTCAACTAGAGGGACGAAATGCTGGGAGAGATGGCGGATTGTCGGCTAAAGACCAGCGAGAATTGGAAGCCTTGCATCGTGAAGAGCGCACTCTGGTTAGACGAGAACGTCTAGCCGCAGAAGCTCGTGGAGAAGGGAAGAGCTTTATCGTGAGAGCATGGACCAAGACTTGCGCAATCTTCAGACCTCTCAAATTGATTGGAGGAATACTGCTTCTTATTCTCTCCCTGGTTATATGGGTTTCTATGCTCATTACAGGAATTGATAAGGCGAAAAACTCATTCTGTAAACAACATTGTGGTTACATTCTAGGAAGGTAAGATAATCTTGACCTGGTCCGTTGAAAGTTTTTGGCTAATTCATACCTAGTATCAATATCTTCCAGCCGATCAATTGGATTTTCGTCAAGTCATCTATAGTCTTCCCAATTGACTATGTCTTGATGGCACTATTAGTCCTATTCCTCTTCAGTAGTTCAGTCACAGGAATCGCCGCTATCGGTCTTCGATTCTTATGGGTAAAACTATTTGAAATACGAAAGGGACATACCTCTCCACAAGCTCTCCTCATGGCGACCGTCATGTTAACTTTGATCATACTCGCGATAAATTACTCAATCGCCATGTTAATAGCACCACAATACGCAATTTATGGTGCCCAAACATTCTGCGCCAACCCTACTAAATTTCCTGGCGACCAACCAGATTGTAGCAACCACCCAGAGTTGATCAAAACATGCAGTGAGCTTTCTTCGGGCGAGGGTGCCGAAAAGGTCTGCACACCTAGCGTTGTGTCTACTTTCCTCAATAGAGTTACCGTCAACTTCCCATTCTTCGGTGCTCTTGCATTTTGGGCTCAATTTGTCTTCCTCGCAATCTTTTTGATCGTCTTCGTTACGGCATTGTTCCGAACTCCCAAATTGGACCTTAGCGAGATTGATGAAGATGCTGAGGCTGATGAGGAAGAAGGCCTTCTTGCTAGTACTGGTAGGAGATTCGGTGCCACGTGGCAAGATATCCGTGGCAAAACGAAGAATACTAGTAGTGGTGCTGCTGGTCGAGGAATTCGCGGTGATGACGATCATAACGACGATTAGTTCTCTACCACGACCTCAATCTTTTCTTTCTGAAATTGCAATCTTCTTATTTTGGATCCATGGATGGTTGGTCGGGTGGGTGGCGGATGGCGGATGGATCTGGACAAGATTGGAAAAAAGGACGGAGTTGATTTAGGGATTTGCATCTTGTATAGTATACACGCGATTGGTTTGAGGATTTTGTTTTTCAGTTCTGCACTGCGTATATGTGAACTCGGTAATACGTGAGGGGAAATGCATGTCTTTCGAATTCTCAAACGATTGCAATTAATGCCGCCAATCGAGAAATTGGTAGGACGAGGGTATGGTCCCGGCGGTATGGTAGCAGGAAGGGGGACGGGATTGTTTTTAGCACACTGCAACAGCAAAATTTAATTGTTTATATTCACTCATTCCGTGGCGACTGAAACGTCTCCAGTCATTGATCGTGTGTGAAGGTTGACCACAGCCTATCCTAATTCCAATCATAAAGCTCCAGAGCATAAAGCCTTATGTCCTACCTACAGCTGCAAATTTGTTTCGCCTGCTTGATTCGTTTGTCCATCTGATGTTTTCCCTTGCCCCTTCTATCTGTTTATATTCAGCATCAGCATCAGCATTATCTTCGTCTCAATATCCAGATGATTTGTTATTGTAAAAATTGTATTTTCATAAATAAACAGCACATTTACAAAAATGAGATATTTAAACCAACCAGCTTGTTCATCTATCCTAATAATAAGTCTGTTCAACTCCGTGTAAATATCTGCAGCTGCAAAAAATGTATTGACTTTGATCAGTCAGCACGATGTCATAATCCGCTTGGTATGTTATGATTCTGGGCGATGGCTTATATTGCGTTCGTTGATATTTCAATTGAGATCTATATCATTCCAGCCTTATGACGGCAGCAATACCAGCTCTTCTTTAATTCAAAAGCGGGATGCACATCACTCATAAACAAGAATCTATATCAACAGCGTAACTGAAAACCCCCCATTTATCATTCTATCCCTCTCCCAACCCCAACCAACTAACCAGGACGTTCCCATTTCCGCCACTGATGTCTCTTAAACTCCCACCCGGCATCAACCCCCATATGTCCCTCCTTCCAACATCTCGCACAATACAAGTCTCCCTCACAACCCACACACTGAATCGTCGCATCATCTTGACAAATAATACACCACGTATCCATTTCCTCATCCGTATATTTCTTTAGTCCTCCAGCTTTCCCCTTCGACTCTTTCGCCACTTTAGCAACCGGTTTAGTAGTCGGTGCAGAAGGTAACCCAAGATCGTTAACAGTCGTAGAACCAAGACCCTTCAGCGCAGCCAATCTCGCAGTAATATCGTCTTCGAAATCGATCGATTTCCTGCTCGGTTCCGGGAGCGTGGAGGGTGCGGATGGGAGGGTAAAATTTGGTTCGGCATCGTCATCCTGCTTGTATTTGGGGAAAGATGAGAATTTTCCACCCGCATCCGCGTTCATGGCATTAGTTCCTTGGGAATCCTCTGCTTCGCTTTCATCCTCGGCTCCTCTCTCTAAGTTTACCTCATCCAACAGCCTGGCAACAATATCCTGCACTTCACGTGATTCGTCCTCTAAGCCCTCGATCTGTTTGGTGTTATTCCTAGGTTCCCCAGCCTCATCGTCATCTATGGCAAACACAGACATATCGAGACCACTAGTCAAGACATTAGTCTTCCGAGTCTTCTCCTCAGAAGAACCCTTTGATGTCTCTTCATCTGTAGCAACATCATCACGATCTGGCAAAGCTTTCTTAGCCTCATCAAGAAGTTTTTGAATATCATTCGGATCATCAGGATTCAACCACTCAGAACCAGATCCCAGTTCTGCTAGAAGGTCGTCCAAAGATTTATCCTCGTGGATATCATCTGAAAACAGGGGAACAGCATCACTTGACGTGGTTTGGTTGTAAAAACTGGATTGTTGTGAAGGCAATGTGGTGCTAGCGGGCGCGGATGCTTCACTGGTGCCAGATCTTGATGGTGTACCGTTTCGTAGGCTACGCAGTCTCTCAGACAAGTCTGCTTCGGGGGTCGACTCTTTTACAAAAACATTTAGTGGTGGACGACTGAGAGCTTAGCATGTGTTCATATATAGTTTGTATTGGTTTCTTGCTTACGGGGATGCGTCGAGCTGAATACTGGATTTCTTCAAAGCATTGAGCCGATTTAGTAGGTCATGGTCATAACTTGGAGGATCACTCATTTTCGAAAGATTGGTGATAGAACGATTTGGTGGTCAGAATTGTTGCATTGCAAGAAGCAGGAGCTTGGATCTATGTATTGATACCAGATTTATGAGGCGGCTGCAAGCCAGCCTTAGCTTATTTCTAATACCTATTGAATGAATATTCCCAGATCCACCTCTCAGACAAAATTCCCTAGGTAAATGCAAATATTCCGCCATTCTTTGCGCATTTACACTCCTTCGTACATCACACTTCTCCCAAGCGTTGTTCTGTATGATCTCAAGCCAAGTGCTGATACTGATGTAAAATTTTGAGCTAGAAATAACTGTCAGCACATCGAATTGAAATTGATTGCAAAGACAAATATTATGAAAGCTTTTCAGAACGGGTTTCTTCTCTCAGTATGCACTCTGCGTTTAATGTGAGGCACTCGACGAGCTGGGATTATTCAGGCCTCATGGCCCTTTGTCATCATAAAAGCGAGGGGAAATAATGAAAATGAAATGCTTGATGCATACCTGAAGAAAAGTGTATCGTGCGGATTTGACATGGACAATGAATTATATCACGCCAACATGAGATTCGTGACAAGAGTTGGCAACTACTACAATCAATAAGGGGCTCTCAAAGCTTGTGCATAACGATGTAGAGGTGAAAGCTTCAACATTATTTCAGAGAGAAGATTATGTCTCATCAAGACCAGCAATGTATACAAGAGAAATACATCGACAAGCCAAGGCAAGCCAAAGCAAGCCGAGAACCACAAATATAATTGCCAGCTCAGACTAAGGATGACGATACGAAAGTTTTCATCATTTTAGGTCGGTGACGCGAACAGATTGAAATAAATAATTACTGACCTTTTGAAATTAGGAAGCTATCATCGAAGCATTGACTAGAGTCAAGCTGTGGATTGCTCAAGAATCATCATAAGTGATCTTTCTTCTTTGCGGCGCTGAACTTGAGGCCTGGCTATTACCACCACTCTCATCATCGTCATACGCAAGAGACCCAATAGATTTCTCAACTTTATCCCACGTCCTCTTTCGTAAATCGGGCTTGACGTTTTGCTTAAACCAACCTTTCTCTTTGGCTTCTTGCGCTTTTTGTATTTTCTTCAATTCCTTTTTCGACTTTTTAATTGGTCGCACGGGTCCGATTGGCTCTGGATGCGAAAAACTTTCAGGAATCTCCCCATCTTCTTCCTCGGCCTCGACCTTTTCTGTACGGACGGTTCTTGGGGTTTCAGATTGAGGTTGCTCATTGCTAGTCTCATTGGACTCTGCAGCATGCCTGCGCTTTCGAAGAATGGCCTGGATTTCCGAATGTCGAAAGATTGCGATTTGTTCATCCGTCAAAGTTCTTTTGACTCCGTCAGGATAGTACCCAAGGCCGTCATCGTCAACCTCTTCTTCATAGTAATCCTCCACAGGACCCAAGAATTGTTGCGCGAAATGTTCAGTTGAAGTATCGCCAAGGTGAGCGGCATGGAAAGCTAAGAGATCATCCTAAAGTTTCATTAGCATTTTAGAAAGCAACATAGTAGATCATATGGACTAACCTGTGTAATCTCCGGCGCAGACATGGCGACGCGCAATATAGAGCGTGGTCGCGGGTGTTTGTGTGGTCATGTTGGTTGATGATGAGAAGCTTCAGCCTGGGATAGAGAAAGTTTTCGAAAATTTATGGTAGACTACGGTGACCGAATCACTCTAGCGTATAATCTAGCGCGAAAGCTGAGGACCCACAAACGAAACTGAGACATCAACGTGGGAGATCACATAAACATTTGCGCGGTCGGCCACCACCATTTCATTGTGCTGAATAGAAAGGGATTTCGAAACTTCTTCAAGTCACCTGCATGGTATGACATGACCCAGAGAATATTAAAACTTTCCAAGAAGGCGAGTATGGTTCAGCTTTTCTAAGGATATCCATGGTAATCTTACATTGCTTAAATGTTAAAGACCTCCTACGACCATCACAAAATTGTCACCGAGAGATACTTCAATTGAAACAATGAGATATGCAGAGAAGGAAAAGTATTTTACTGAAGCGAAATGTTTTCTCGCAATTGTGATTATGATCTGTACGATAGCTATTATTGCGATATATAAGCGAACAGGAGAGGGTATCTAACCAATATCCATCACAGCCAGTCCCTCATTGCGCCTCATGTCCCAGCCATATAGAGCAAAGATATGGCTTCTACAAAATCAAGTCTATGATTATAACATGTAAAAACGAAAAGCAAAGCGAGTAGTCACTCTCCGAATAGTTGAAGAGCCTGCTTGAATGCCTCGACAACTTTTATATCTGAAGGACAAGGTTTAGCATGGAAAAGAGAAGTGATTGTAGAGCGACTTACAATGCAGCTTCTTGTCTTCCAGTGACTTTTCCTGTATCTGTACATATCTTTCTCTTGTCTTCAAACTATAACAAAGTCAGTAGCTCCTTGCGAACGATCAATAAATGCAACTTGCCGTTTCCATGCCCTCCCATTGTCTCGTTCCGCCGCAGCCTCTGCCCAGATACCGAAAGCCTTCAAGTATCATTAGTTTTGGTAATACAAATCAGATCGAAGAACTAACGTCAGAAAGATGCTGGAACTCCTCAATCAAGCGGTTCTCGTCGTCGCTCAATTCCTGGATAGCCGTCGCGTAGCGTTGTTCAAATTCACTCCAGCTCTTCGGAGGAATGTCTCTCTTGGGATTCGGGGCATCTAGACTGATCATTGTCTCGTCTGACCCGGCTTCTGGTTCTACTTGCGGTGCCATATCTACATCATCTTCGCCAACATCATCGGCGTGGTTGTGATGCTGTAACACGTGTGACCTCTTGAGAGGGGAAGAGATTGGGGATTGCGTGGTAGGAGCTTGAATGCTGGGGGGATATTGCAGACTTGGACTAACACCTCGAATCTTTTGAGGTAGTTTAGAAGAAGGTGTGAGAGCTGGTGTATTTGGAGTACCTCTGGCGGCTGATTTCTCCGCGAGCTTTTCATTTACAATAGCCATAATTGGACGACGCGGGGTTTTTGGAGGAGAGTGGTTTACTTGAGACATCAGGAAATATGAATAATGATAATCGCTAAGAATGAGCTAAGAATCGGTTCACAAGGAAGCTTTGGCAGAAACGGAAGAACCAATGAAGCCGATAGTATTACCGTCGTAGCTGCCGTAATAGTGAGGTCAGCTTTTAAGTTCAACAGCCTTTGCAGTGGAGACAGCCTTGTTTGGGAAATGCGAAGCTGACGCCTGGTCATGTGGTTGACTAGATAAGCACTAGATAAGCAAGCGAGTCAAGATAAGGCGAGGCAATGAATCCATTGTTCTGAGGTCATTCAGCCTGACGTACCTTCATACACCCCCGTACCTAATTGCTCGAATATATAACTACTCTTCAACTTCAAATGCTCTTTGATATATCCATAATTCATTGAGGTTCTTCCTATCAAATCTTTCTTGCATAGCACATTATGTATTACATGCCTCCCTAGAATAGACTAAACCTGCACCCTTTGATAGCTTAGAATTATTAACTACCTACATCATATCCTACAACTTCTCTACAACGAACCTTTATCAAAAGCTGCACGAGATGCAGTGTGATATATGTTTTCGAACAGGCGGACATAAACTGCCATTTCTTTGCCCCACGGATGCGCGCAACCAACTATACGAGCTTCGAGTACAAACCGCTGGCATTCACCTGGAAAAGGATGCGATTGATCGAGATATCAGCAGGCGCTACCCGCTACCCCTTTCAAAGGCGGGGAAATATAGTAATGAAGAATCTGCGGCTGTCACCCAGTCGAACTATGATGCGTTGGTTACTGAGCGGGAAAGAAGTATAGACCGCACGAATCAAATTATTGCTCATGCAGATGAGTTGAAAGCAAACCTGGAGCGAGCAAAGGAGGAGCGCAACAAGAAGAAGATTGCCAATGACCGCAGGAAGGCGGAACTTACATCGGCTTCAAAGGGAATTGAGGCTCGTAGGATCAAGCAGATAGAAGCAGTTGAGGGTTCCACTCAGCGGACGAAATACAGGTGGAACCAGACATATGACTTTATCGGGGAGTCCAGGGCTTATCTTTGTTATGAATCTGCCAATTTGTATGGGCTTCAAAGATTTAAAGGGAGCAATGGAGGAGATGAATATAGAATAGCTGGCGTCAACATAGTAGACCTGAGGTTGATGAACAGTATGTCCCCTTTTCCGTATACAGAAACAATGCTAATCATGGTCTGCAGCTGCAAGTCCAGCCCAAATATCTACCTCCTTGTCTCACATCGCGCATGTCCTCATGCTAGCTACTTATTATCTCGCTATTCGATTACCTGCAGAAATAACCCTTCCTCATCGCGATTATCCTCGTCCTACGATATTTTCTTTATCTTCCTCATACATGCATACCAATGTACCATTTCCTGGCGGAACCAGTTCATCAAGCAATAGTCCCTCCACCTCTCGCCATACCGAAAATACCTATCAACCTCGACCAAGACCCTTATGGATCAACAAGCCTCTTCCCATATTAGTGAACGAGGATTCAGTAGCCCATAGTTCCTTCCTCGAAGGGGCAATCCTTCTCGCTTACAATGTTGCCTGGCTGTGTAAAAGCCAAGGGGTTTCTGTAGGAGACAGTGATACCACAAGCTTTGAAGACATCTGTAACATAGGAAAGAATCTATGGAAATTGCTCATAGGCGATAAACCTCGTCTCCCGCCAAAGCCACGCTCCGAATCTCCCAGCCCTGCTCCACCCAAAAGCCTCGATTCCAAGGGGTACGTGGAAAGTGAAGACAAGAACACTCACAAACCTGGGCGCTCATCTATCGGATGGGCCAGTCATGGGTCTGCATTCTCATTCCTAGGGAGCGCAGAAGGTGCAGAGTTCATACGAGGTTTCAAGCTTCCACGTCCAAACCAAATGGCCGACATACTAAAGAATAAGCTCATGAGCGAAGTAGCAAATGCAGAATGGGAGCTTTTGAGCCAAGATGCGTGGGCAATAGAGGACGAAATGCGTAGCGATGGAGTTGTGGTGGGCGCTAGAAACGAGGGGCATGTGATTTTTGATACCAGCAAGGAGAGGGATTATACGGCTGGAATGCAGAGTTTTATGAGTATGAGAACAGTGATGGATGCAGTTGAAATGGTTGGCGAGGGGACTGGTATCAATGCGGTTATTGCTGAGAGGCTTCCATTTGGTCTTGCGAATGTTACTGATAAGGAGAGGAGAGAAAGAGAAAGGTATGTTAGAGCCAAAGCGGCTAAAGACAAAGACCAAGACAAGAAAACTGGAACGAGTGGGTGGACGAAATTGAAACCTAGAGGGTAGAGTAACATAATTAGGCTGCTAAATACCCCTATATATCTAATGCTTTTCTCACATATGAGATGAGGGTTCTTGAGTTGAGCATATGGGATGGGATAGGAGCATGGATGAGATCATGGATGAGATCATGGATTTGGATTTGGATACGGATACGGATATGAATTAGAAAGGGCTCAAATCATGATGTATTTCTCCTTCATATGAGCAAAGATAAGCGGTAGAAAGCTGATCTAGATTAGCACATACATGCATAACCCTGGAATGTAATTATATTGTAGAATACCAGAGCATACAATACTAGGCTACATCAACAATACACTACATTGAATGAATCCAGCCTACCGATCGAAACAACGGGATGGGAGAAGTCTGTTCTATGAATCCCAATACTAGTCCCTCATACCTACATAATGTATGATAATTGAAATGATATATACCTATATAAATGCTGTGTATCCTGATTGAAAGCAACAGGAGTAGATACTTTACCATCTCATCTCAACCTCAGTATCGTGAATCTTACTTCGAAGGATCATAGCAGTCTCATCCGTCTGATCATCCCATATCGTTAAATCTCATCTCATCTGATCCCCTAACTACCTACCGAAAACTATCCGAGATCGCGTAATGCTCGAATTGTCATTTACAGAATGCCTACACACATATTAACCTCTCTCTTTCCAATCCTAACTTATTTTCTTCAACGACCCGACATTGTCATCAAAAACGCAATCGTAAATGGTAGAAATGTTCAATTCACGAGTACATTACATCACATCTACAACACTCATCTGCAACTTCTGTTATCCTCCCATCGAGTACCACTCGGTCTACGGTCAAGAGAATACTGGCTCATAAGGCTCGCCGGTCAATCAATCGTAGGTCTAGAGGAACATTCAAATATACCAAACCAGCACAGCCTTCATAATCATAATCATCGCCCACACCACCAACACCATAAAACCAACAGCCAACAACCAAACACCTATAAATCTCACGGCCATGCCCATCCAACCCAAAGTTCAATCAAAACCAGTTTTAACAGATACACACATCCGTACACACACATACACTTCCAAACTCACCAAGCGAAACCCCGATCCTAGAAACCCTCCATGCGTACTGCATACGTGAAGGAAGCGCCGGAAATCACCAACCCGTTTGTTTGTTCACGGAATTTCCAAACACCGGAACCTTATTCCTACTCTCCTCTGTGATCTTAGAAGTTGAATTATCTCTTGTACTCCGTAGTTGCAACTGCGAGAAACTTGATGATTGCGTCACAGCCTTACGTTTACAAATTCGTACTTCGTATCGTAGTCCAGTTTGTGATTAGTTAGTTGGCTACGCCGGCTCACCGGTACTTGCTCGGTTTGTTATTGGATGGTCGTAGGCATGGTCATTATATCTCCGTATCCAATCTTCCGTAGTGGAAAGTTAACCTCTGTCGTTTTTATTGGCTGTTGATTGTTGGGCTTCGATTTGATGATTCGAATGATTTTGATGTTTATATTTACATTAACATCTGCACTGCCTGCTGGGCCCTTTCGACCTTGGAAGCTATCACTAACAATTTTCACATTTTGACCACTGTAACGCATGTAGTGTTAGGTACTCCGTAGGTATCTACAGATAGATTACTCGTATGTACAGTAAAATATATATCACACCGATCCGGTACGAAGGTTGTAAGGATAAATAATGTAAACCCCACTTTTACTAAATCTTGCTGTTTTTATAGATTTTATTGCTGTTTTAAGCAATTTGAATAGATATTGAGCTGTTCCTTTCTAAAATTTAATATTTGAAGCTTTTACTTGCTTTTTATTAATTTTGATAATTTTTTAGTATTTGAAGTTTTTAAAGCTTTTTATAAATTCTAAATAGGTTTAGAATAAGAATTCGAATTTCAAATCCAATCGAATCTAATAATTTTGAATAAAACATAACTTTTACAATACCTACTTTTACTATCTAGAATTCATTATATAAATTTTCAACCAGTGATATGATTTGATTCGTTTAAAGGCCAAAGGTGGGGACACATTTAGGTGCATTTTATATTACTTATTACCCTTCCAACCTCCGTACATACATACGCCTTACATGACCGACCGGTACATCCGACCATGCTCCAGCACACCAATATCAGTATCCATTATCCATCACCCACCCAACACCCAACACCCATCCCATCCGCCCACAAACCAAACCTCCATTCCACGCTACCACACCATCTATCTCATCGACTATCCGCTACAGTATGTACCTAGCCCACCCACTCTCCAGCACCTAAACTAATCCATCGTACCGTACCAATTACACACCGGCCCTCCATCAAATATCAAACATCAAACACGCCGTCGAAATGCCACTTCACATGGGCATTCTCGACCGTCTTTTTAGTACCTATCGATGTAGGTACCGGTAGGTATGTGTGTATGGATCCCTTCCACATACTTACTGTACATACTTCCAAATCTAATTATCTACTACGGTACACCAGTGTATGGAGCCTAGAATTACAAAGAAAGGAAGAAGAAGAAAAAAAAATGGTTCTACGAGTGAGAAGAAGAGCTTGATGCAAATTCTTTTGAGGCTACTCGGTCGAATAGCTATTTAGCCAGTGGCCCGTTCAGATAAGTAGGTACTGGTGGTATACTCCGTACATTTAGAAATCCAGAATCCAGAATCTAGGTTCGATTGTAAAAACCCAGTCCGAGAATTTATTACTCCATGACCCTCTCCCTGCCTCTCTCGAGTCTCCATGCAACCGAGAAGAAGAAGAAAAGTAAAAGCAAATAAAAACTTGTAAAAGAGACTTCTGAGTACAGTACCTACTTACGGCCCAAGGGAAAAATTTGTTTACTACTTACTTACTTGCTTTGTATTTGTTTACATGTTTACAGGTTTACATGTGTACATCCCCAACTCGTTTCGACTTGCTCTAGAGTCCCGTTTCAGGAGCTCCAGCACTTGGACCTACCGCCATCGTCCTAACATTCAGAACTAAGAGCTTCTGAAACCCCGAGAGCGACGGGATGGATATGCAAATGAAAAGCAAAGCATGAGAAAAATGGATAGAATTCTCCCCCATTCTCATGAGAAACAGAGACACATCAAAACGCTGAAAATATCACAGAAATTTATATTTATATTTATTAATAGTGTCATGGAGAATCCAACCACCCAAAAATTTACACATTCTCCTATTCTAGAATCATCACAGCTCGACTCTGTAAAATCACTTGTACCACAAAAGATTCCTATGTGAAGAAGATATTTTCGGTTCTCTGTCTTGTCGTAATCAATACACTGCGGGGTTGGCAGCTAGATCTGGAAGTTCGAGACAGTCAAATTTGGGATGATTTCCAGATTTGCAGAGACGGTAATGAGAAGCTCTGGGAGAAACGAAAGAGTGCTTGCGTTGCCTGCCCGTATCTTGCTACCTACCTACCTGGGAAGTATGGTATCGGCAAAAGCACGGTGCGTTGGCCGGTGGTTGACAATCGCTGAGAATGGGAGAACCACCGGATATGACTTTAGGGAGCGACCCCCGTCGAACGATAATGCTCAAGGAGGATTTCGTCTGATACGATTCGATGCCTGTAGAGATGACTGCCGATTATGTTGTGTAAGCATCGAAAATTCTGTGCCTCGAATCATTGCTGGATGCTGCTGCAGCTTTTTGAAACTCTCGGTGTATTATTGATGTAAAAGAGAAATTTCTGCGCTGAAAATTCCGTATGGATCATGGTCTTTGGCCTTGTTTTTTTGGGTCCACGTTCTCTCATTCATCAGCGTGACGTCGCATTCGAGGCATTTCATTGTCATTCTGGAGCACAAAAAAATCTCTTCTGCATAAAGATAGTATGATGGACCACAATGCTTCATCCCTATAGGGCAAGAGATGATTCATTACCACATGCATAGTTATTGCATTACCACATGGTGATGATCACAGCCACCTGCACAAATTGTGATTTGGCAAGATGCTTTGATATGAACCTTGGAAACTTTAAGATAGGAGTCTGGACTGTGGACAGTGGACACGCAAACCATCATTTCCTCAAAAATTCTAGTGTCCGAAACAAACGGGATCGAATGGGATTTAAAGATTCTTCTTCAATTAGGTTAGAACTTAGAATCCTCCCGGATCCATAGCATCCATTCTTAGCATGTACGGCCCTATCCAAAATCAGTCCTTGAAGCGTTACCGATACCACTATACGTAGGCTGATTGCGCGCCGATTGGAATTTGGAAAACAACGGGATCATGTCTAATCTCTCAATCAATTTGCTCAAAAAGAAGGTCTCCGTGATTCCAATCAATTAGATGAAAAGATGCCTTCATGAAGCGATAAGTGTCATGTAAGCTATGATTAATTGAGTTGTATTGGGACAGACCTCCTACCGTGCTTGACACTTTGATTGTTGATCTGTGAGAAAGAAACAAGTGTGGATGCCGTGGCATTTTAACCCTGGAATAGCGTATTCGAGAAATAGTGGGAACCTGATTGGTCTGACCAATTATTGGTCGTCTTCCCCTTTTTTTCGGAGTAGTCTCCCAGGAACGCGTTTTTAGTGGACCACTATCCCCCGGCGTTGCTTGGGTTCATCTCAATCGAAGTCCCCTGCAGGCTGCACCTCATGGCTTGAAGTAAAATCTAAATGTTCCAGGGCTTCCTCCAATGACTCGGCTGACCTAAATCGTGGCCGGGTTGCCAAAGAAGTCCCAACTGCCCACAGGCACCCCCAGGAAATGATCGTCCCAATTTAAGATGACCTTTAATAAATAACCCTCCCGCTCTTCTCGTATCTCTCCTTCTCTCCTTCACCGTATTCAAGAAACTCGCCGTTCTCTCGTTCATTCAGTTCGACACACTCCTTTGTCAATCCAACCAACTGAGCAATACATCGCTCTCACACTCTTTAACAACAACGGCCTCTTACGATCAACCTCTTTAAATTCAAAGCATTATACCCATTAGCGAATACTTGACAGTTATCATTATCTCCGAAAATGCGTTACTCAACCACCGCGATTGTTTTGGCTGCCATGTCCATTGGCGAAGCCGTAGCTGGACCTACTCACGTTCACCGACACAAACATGAGAAGAAGGCGTAAGAATATCGCTCTGATGAATGTGAAGAGTGATTGCTAATCAGATGACAATAGTGCTGCCGTTGAAGATTGGACGGCATTGGACTGGGCCGAAATGGGCATCAACTGGTCATCCGCTTATGAAGCAGGCAAAGCCTCCAAGACTGCCGCCGCTGCTGCCGCTTCCACCGATTCTA